TGGTGTCACTTGCTGGGGGATAACAAAGGCGCGAGCAGAAATGGGGGGGTTTTAAGCCGGGATGTAGGGTGAAACGTGGGGGGATTCAGCACGACAGAGCCCGTGCATGGGGTGCCCCCCCTCCAGCGGCGGAGGACAACCCATCTCGGCACACGCCGAGCCCCAAATCTTCCTGCAGCATAGCTAGGTGTCAACCTGCACCCGGTGCCTTTTAAGGCTGCTGCGTGCTCCCCGCCTGGCGGGGGAGAGGGGACCCAGCCCCGCCGGCCTCGCGGGAGAAAGGCTTTACTCTGGTTTTTTTTTGTTGCTGTTGTTTTTTTCGGTGGTGTTGTGCCGGGTGAGCGTTTCCAGTTGTTGAAGTGACTGCGCGGCTACGAGCTTGCCTGTCTCGAAGGCCTTGGCGACATGAACTGCAATGGTCTTGCAAACAGCCGATGGGTTTTTTTTTTCCTCCCTTCCTCTCTCTCTCTCTTTTCTCCCTGATTTGCTACTGGGGCTACTGGTAATAAGAAAGCCCAGTGTATTGGCATGACGTTGATCCAAATTGCACCTTACATGTGGCCATTTAAGCTTGCTTGGACACTATGATGTGACTGGTTAACACTCAGCACTGTCTACTCTGCTCTCCCTTATGTCTACGTAACCGCTGGAGACGTTAGTAGGCGATAGGCTGGCGTGGTCTGTACGGAGAGATTAGCTCGCCACCGTCTTTTTCATGTCTTGAAACGCTGTGGTTGGGGGGGGAGAAAAGGAGCAAATGCAATACTAATTTTTCTGCGGTTCAGTCAGCCATTGAGAAGAACAAGCCTATACAAACGTAATTATTGAGAATTAATCATTTCGTTCAATAGGTCACTTTGGAAATACTCCAGGAAAGACTCTGAGATCGAGTCTCTTTTGGCTCCAGTCCTTAGTGCTTATGCAAGGGAGGCAAAAACGCAGCAGCTCAATCTGCTATTTAAACTAAAGGCCCTTTGCACCGCTCTGATAACATAGGGGAGTCTGAAGTGAAGGCAACTAATTTTGAGCTGCTTTATATTGCCAGAGCAGCGTAAGAAAAAAAAAAAAAAACCTCTCTGTAAGTTAGATTTCTAGCTGCAACATGATGCTCTTCTCCCGTCTCTGACACGCAAAAGGTTGGAGAATGTGGAGAGTTAATGATAGGTCACTGTATGGCTCTGCAGAGGAGGTGAGAGGATGGACAGACGGACGGTCCCGGGTCGATTGAGTAGCTCGCCTGCGAGCGCTGCGCCGGCCTCCCTTGGGCTCGGAAACTTCTGCGCGACAGAACTTTGGATATTCCCATCCTGGCCTTCCTCTTTCTCCTCTTCCTCCCCAGGCTGCTCGGCCCCCTTTGAGCCAAGGGTCTCGTCCGCGGGGAGCAGGCAATGGCCATCCTTGCTGCGGGTCGGAAAACTGGCAAATGTAAAAATATATTCACGTTCACCAACATTTCCAGGGGAAATTAACTTTTTGTTTGGGAAGGGGGAAAGGTTTCTTTTTTTTTGGAAGAATAATATTGATAAATTCTCAGCCCCAAACTGTTAAAAATACTTAAAAAAAAAAAAAAAAGGCAGGATTTTTATGTTTGAGGAAAGATTTCTTGAGCTGAATAATTTTCTGCTGGCATTCTTTTTTTTTTTTTTAATTTTA